TTGTACTGATTAATTTAGTAAGTCGAAATATTTTTTTATCTAACGAAATGTGTCGCGAGATTTAAATTATTAATATTTTCCTTATAAATTTTTGATAAATTAAAATTTTGTCAATGTTTTATGTAAAAAAGCAAGAAAGAAAGTACAGAATATACTTGTCAAGAATCTGACGAGAAAAGTGAATTTCCAAGCTCGATATAATGTATAATCTTGGCTCGAATAAACGAATCTTAACTAGCCTTCCCGAAACGCATAAAAGCGTGATTTGTACTCAAATCGAAATGGAAATTCAGCACTCGTGGAAATAACAGATACTAACCGAGAGTTACGAGCGCATCGTTACGAATACGTGTAATATTTGTAGCAGCAAGAGCAACATCAGCGAGGCTTTCACATGGTTTCTCTTTCTCTATCCCGCTCGGCCGTTCCCTATCTCTCTTTCGGCCAACCAACCACCTCACAGTTCGTTTCCGTGTTGTTACATAATACACGCTGCGGCGCGGTTACGTGGATGAGGGATGAGGTGCTGCGTTGCCTAATAACCTCCCCTTTGCACAACACCCCCTCAAACCCGACTGAATCCTCCTCCGACCCCCTTGTTATACCAAGCGCACAGGATACGATGGTATTTGCGAGCGGTGCATGCAACTACGGGCAAACCACCCTGCAAGAGCACGACGGTATAGAAACACCGCTAGAACACCACTGACAAGAGAGCGAGGGAGGGTGGGGAGGAAGTATCTGAGGGCACCGGGTTACGGAGAGAGAAGCGTGAAGTAATTATATGAGGGCGGAGCACGCTAGGCTCATCTACACCTAACACATTCATATTAGTCGGCCCGAGCCAAGGAGCTGCTGAAACGTGAAGCTCGTACATCAGGATTTCGTTGCCGGGATAGTAGACTCTCCTCGAGGAGTAACAGAATGAGTTTTCGCACAGTGGAACCCATTGTTAATTTTCTTTGTCAAACGGAAAAATAAAAGTACTTGACGGGGCGCGCGCACGCTTATTATACATGAGTGATAAGATGCATCGTCTTTGAGAAGTAAAACGTTTATATTACAAAAAAAAAAACTGAAATATAAGACATAAACTTGCACAAAGCACAGACGAAAAGTAAATTCAAGCCGCGTCGTTCGAGAGTAGCTTTACCGAATTAAAACGCGTATATAAATTTTTGTATAATATCTACCTGAAAATCATTGCGCAAGATAGAAGAGAGAGAGAGAGAGAGAGAGAGAGAGAGAGAGAGAGAGAGAGAGAGAGAGAGAAGAAGAAGAGAAGAGAAGAGAGAGAGAGA